TTGACCGAAGGCGCTGCCGCGGTCCCGGCGGGGGCGGAGGGGCGAAGCGGCCGCCAGCGGCGCCGGCGCTCCCGCAGCTCCGCGAGGCAGCGAAAGGCAGCGTGGGAGTCGCCAACGAGCGCCAGAGCGGCCAGGCCTCCCCGTTGGCGGCGGGGCAGAGCGCCCCTGGTGCGAGCCGCTCCGCAGAAGCCGTCGCCGTGCCCGGGGGGCCGCGGCGGGGTCGGATGGGAGCCCCCGGCTGCCCTGGGCAGGGGCAGGGCCCCGGCCTGAGTGTGGGCCCAGGCCCTGCGGCACGAGTGGGGCTGTTTAACATCGTGGCATGAGGCAACCTTGAGCTGAAAAACGTTTGTGAAACAGAACCAAAAAAAAACCGTGCGAGCTGTAGAGAAATTGTCCTTTATATGCAGCCTTGAAAGCTATTCTCGTCCCTTGGGAGGAAAACTGAAGGTCTGCTCAGAATATTTGCTTTGGCTATATTGCCAAAGAGGTAGGGAGCTATTTCACGCAGAAAACTAAGCCTTGCTAAGCCCAGGAATAATGCTTATGATACAAGCAGCACTTTGGTTTTGTTTGAATTTTCACATCCCGGAACAGTTTTTATAATACTGCACGCCCTGTGTAACTTATTCTAGGATCTCCAAGGATGATCATCAACATACGAAAGCGCCATGTAACGTATCCCTCTAGCCTCATAGAAACCGTGATAAAGAAAACACAGATCAGCACAACCAACCCAGGCTGCTTTGGAGATTATGAAATTCCATCTATGCAAATGATCTGTGTGGTTTTCCAGCAGTACTTAAGGGATCTGCCTATGGCAACTAGTTACAAAAAAACTATCTGCTGCCAAAACTATTTAAAGGACCTTCTTACTCACTGAAATTTAAATGAAATTCTTTTTAGAATTCTCTATAATTTGTAGAGCAAGATTGTCATTCCCCAAAGAAGGGAAAAAAAGATGTTTTTATTTTTAGGAATGACTTGTTAGAACTCTCCCCATTATCCTCAGAAACACTCTTCTTATTTATGGGAAGATACCTTGTGAGACAGCCTATCTCAGCTTGCTTTTACGTTGCTGTCAATTAGTGACACAGTCAACACTGTTGGGCCTTGGCCCAGGGCCCTTCACCACCTCTGAGCAGTATCCGACTGGCTCCTGCTTCTTTGAACTTAACTTCCCTTGCTCAGAGAATTAGCAAACCACTGAATTTTGCCACCCTCGTTATGGGTTCTGCAGTGCTTCCCCGTGCTCCCCCGGGCACAGGCAGAACAGCCTTCCCGTCTCTGCTCGAGCTGGGAAGCTCCGTCTCTGTCCTGCAGCTCTGGAGCCCATCGGCACAGGGGCTCCCGCTCCTTGCCACGGAGGAGTCTTGGAGGCTCTCATCACATCTCATTTCAGGAATTATTTTCGCTCTTTAGAGTGACTTTTGAGCTTTAGCACACACGCTTTTGAGCTTTGCTGAAAAATGCTGAAATTTGCAGCGCTGCACGGAGAGGAGAGCGGGTGAAGTGAGGAAGAGGCGGCCGAGGGAGCTGCTGAGGAGGTGCCACCGCTGCTGGGGAAGGGGCGCCCGGCGGGCAGCGCTGGCCAGAGCTGCGGGTGCTGCCGGGGTCCCCACAGGTGCTCCCTGGATGGAGACGACCTGTTCTGACCAGTGACTGCGCTTCTCACGGATGGAGGCCGGCCAGCTGGGCCGGCGTCTGTGTTTCCTCTGATGACCATGTGCTCAGCTTCTTGTTTTTAGACATTTATGGCTTTGCTTCAAAACCTGTGTACGACAAACGCAGTATGATTCCTTGAGCAGGAATGTTTTATTATGTAAGAGAAGGTTTTGAAGTACATTTATAAGCTGTGCTTGGCTCAGTTTGCTTAACTAAGAGCTAAGTTAATCTTTGGAAAGGGTGTAATTGAGATGAAAAACCTGTTTTTTTTTTTTTCGTGCTCCTTCTTCCACTCTCCGGTTATTCGTTTTGTCCCTATTTGTTACTTTGTAATGGAAGTATGGAGATGGAGATCAGTCTTGCAACCTTGTGATTAAAATGAGAAGTTTCAAAATCATTTACATTTTTCTATTATAATAATAATTGTTGTTCAGAAGGTCAGATCTAGTATTTTGAAATCAGAAACATCTACTTCTCCAAGTTATCAAAAGGCTTGGCACATACCTAAAAGTTTGATTTTGTGCCTTGGATATTTATGCTTTTTTATAGTTCTTTTTTAAGCACAACAATAACAAAATGCCACCTATTACTACTATTCTATATTGGTTCTATTGACTAAAGTAAATAAATAGTTGTTGTAAATTCTGAGGAAGTGGTAATGCAATTCATTTTTCTGTATTAGTGTGTTGTATCTTCCTCCCTCTTCCCCTTTTTAAATCCTTTGTCATTATAAATGAAAGATTTTTCAAGGCAGGATCATTAGGGCTTTCCAATGCATTTGCACTCTAGCCATCCTAAGATAATGAGAGTCTTAACTTCACAGGGATTTTTAACATCACCACATCATTAATGATAATAAACTTTCTTAATTGTTTCTACGGTCTAGTATTTGAAATGCCAGTTTGAGTATGTTGTAATGAGCCAAGATGAACAATATTAAGAAATATATGAAAAAGATAATGATATTGCAATATATAAATATATTTGTATATGTGTATGCGTGTGTATATGCATAGGTGTATATATAAAAATACAAGATGGAACTGAAGGTTTACTAACTTGAGGACAGAAACCCATTTTTTTTTAAATTTATTTTTCTAGGGCTTTTCCATAACTCTGGCAACAAATATTATAGGACCACTACTGATAGCTAGGTATTTTGCTTCTTTATTGATGAAAGGAACTGAAGAATCCAGATTCTAGACTTCTGATCAGGCCAAACAACTCAAGATGAAATTAGTCAACATCTCCACGGGAGAAAATGGTAAGAACTATTATCACATAAAGCAGCCCAAGTATTGTCCTAGAAATCTATCAGCTGCTTCATCTGGTCAGTTGCCATGTCATGAATGATGTGTGTATTTGTCAGTAAAACAATTATTTTAAATAAAGTTTTTTTTTTTTTTTTTTTTTTTTTTTTTGGTCATATGGAGATCTGGGCCTAAGTTCTGCTAATATATGCATAGCATTTTAACTGAGGGTGTGTGAGTAGACTGATTACCATGTTTTAGGCCATACACAATGTTAATTATTTCCTGTACAGGCCGTTTCTTAGCTTGGAACCACCAGGTTAAGGACTGGGGATGAATTCCAGACTTTATTAGTAAAATTTATTTCTCTCCATATATTACTGATTCTTTGTAATCTTTAGCTTTTGAGGGCAAAATGTAAGCAGCAGGATATGTTGCAAGGGTTACAAGCCAGTTCACTGTAGTGTGATTACTAGTGAACTGTACACTGGTCCCACCTGCTCTCAAACTAAATGGGGAGAAGGGGAACTGGGTATTATTTCACTCCAGTTCATCTTTCTGGCTCTGAGACCCAAGACATAATTTTTTTTTAAATTATTTTTCTTGGCTTCAGAAATGATTGCTGTTCTCTGCTCTCACAAACTGTTCCTCAGAATGTCATTATGGCTTTGGGGATGCTGAGCTTCTCCTGGGACTCACATGAAGATGCAAGTGAGTGGGACTGTTGCACCACTGACCTTTGATGTTTAATTTCACCTTGCTGTAGAGCCGGCAGAGAGCAGTGCTCAGAATTGATTCAGGCCTAAGTTAAGGTCTTCTCCTGGAAGTGCAGTTACACAACGTGGTAGAGCTGAATAACATAACCAGAGCCTGAGTTGCCCTCTGGAGGAAATTTGCTTTCTTCTCTAGCCTCTTAGCTTAAGTATGAAGTTAGGTGTCCAATGCTGCATGACATGATTATCCTGCAGCATGACGGAAGAGCAAGGAATGCATATTTAGAAAACAGATTTCTTAAGCACTGACTTACCTTTAAAGTATTTGATAACAATGGTTCTTTGAAAATAGCAAATTGCCCAGGGCATTTCCTGTTTTGGTTTGAGCTCATCTGTTTTTAAGCTTATATTTTATTAGTATTTCAGGCTGAACAGTGGATATGCTGTAGGAAAAGCGGAAGGGTTTCTTAATACGCAGCAAACATCTGTTCTACAAAGAGTAGAGCCTTCTTGAGAAGCCTGTCTTTGTGCCATGTCGTCAGGCTATATTGCTCTTCGCAGGCATTGGAGACTTGCACAGTCTCCTTTCCTGAAAGTGGACAAGCAGGTCTAAGAGCTGATGAAAACTGATGATAGTCTAAGTTACCTGTTAGTGTTTAGACATATTTTAATACAAGTATTTTCAGCCAGATCGGCAAGATGGCCAAAGAGGTACTAGGGTCAGCAGAAATGCAAGTGGAAAAGTTGTGACGGTGGCAGAAGGGCAGAGCTGCTTCTCTGCTGTTAGGTGCTCTTAGATTGGCTAAATTGCTTATGAAATCACATCTTTGCAGTTCTTAAGCAAGGAGTCAAATACGCAGATAACTGTCAGGAATGCAGCCTAATAGACTTGCCCTTGGACCTATCCACACCTGCGCAGTTAAAGAGGTGGTATTTCTAAATGTGGTTCAACATACAGTTCTTTCGTTGGCACTATCCTGCCCCGTGTTGTCACAACATGCTCAAGCCAAAGATAACCAGCGGTTTTGAAACAGGCTAGGCTTCCTCAAGCCTGTGAGAGTTTGCTCACAACTGCTATCTGAAGAAACTGAATGGTTTCCCCTGCAAAAGATGAGTATTACCAAACAGAGGTGTAAAAACCTAAATTCTGTTATTAGTTACTCCTTCTTGTGCATCTACTTTCCATTTGCTATTTCAGCTGGTTATAGGACACTTCTGTTCCAGTGAGACATGCTTCTGTAGTGCTGGCATGTGTTGCAATGTTACCAGCTTTCATATGGGAGCACTGAGAACTAGACCCTTGTTCCTGTATATACACTTGCTGTATACAGATTTAGAAAGTGCCATAAGATCCTTCTGGGTGCATGCCACTGCGTAAAATAAAGATAACTATTCTAACAGTGAAAAGTTAGAAAATGACACACTTCTGACTGGGTGACTCATGATTGCAGGGAATTAATTATCCAAGACAGGCAAATCGGAAATAGATTCTGTGGTATTATTATTTAGTCAGGCAGTTATTGCTGATACATGAGGCTTGATTTCAGATGTAACAATATAGCTATACCCTACAAATTACGTCACAGTGTTGTTTGAGGGTGTTCTACACATGCCATGTTTGTTTATCTGATGTTTTGTTTTCATTTTTAGGTGGATGGTGTAGGCAGCTACGAGGACTCTAAAGCAGCTTGGAGCATGTCAACAAGGAATTTCAGCAGCAAATTTGGAAAATCTAATGTGGTGTGTATTTCTTTGATTCCAGAAACCGTAAGCACTGATTTGTCAAAATCTTGTCACAAGAACATTCTTACTCACAGATGTTTCACCCCAGAATTCTCAATGAGTCATCTGTTGGATGGTATTGAGAACACTGACATGGGGAAGGCAGGAAAATCTGTCCCATCTTTGCTTGTAATGTATCTGTAGTACCTTGGTAAAATTCCTTTTATGGAGGCAGTCAGTATTCTATCAGTAAGAATATAAATACCTTGAAGATTTGTGCTTTATACAGTTACTTTGGTGTAACTATTCTAGAGGATCTGAGAGACAGTGGAATTGAGTCCTACATTTACTAATGATAAGCTGTATATCTGAAAAAAATAATTTGGACCACTAATATGGCAATAATTGGACAACTAATATAGCAATAATAATGCTTCCTACACTGTGGACTTCTGTGAAACTAAATATATTGGCTATTTCTGGCTGCACACATTCTTAGTAGGCTGTAACCATTTGGAACATCAGCTAGGTTCTGCTCATAGAGCTTTCCAATGATTTCTCAGTGTTGATGAGCTTGCTTATTGTCAGTTACCTTAAAAAAAAAACCTCCTGTTTCTTTTAATTTAGCCCCTAAATCATGACTCTGAACTACCTAGTGATAACAAAATGATGGGATCACTGCTAGTGTTGTGCTCTATCTGCCGTGGTGTGCATGAGGATGGCAGCACAAGTCAGCACTGCCATGCACTGTTATCTTTCGTACCCTCTGAAAAGCATGTCTGGTTATGGAGCCCGGGTCCCCTTTGCTCGCTTCTCTCTCCTGTAGCTACTTTTCAGAACAATTCCTGAGAGTGCTACTTTGCTTCATCAAAGCAGAGAGGGCTTGAGGAGGAGTCGGCTTTATTTATTAGGCCCAGCAAAATGCTGGACTAGAGCTGCCACAGATGTGGAAACATACAATAGTTTTTAAAAAGAATTAAAGTAATTGCAAAGGCTGTTGGCTGCAACTTTTTTCTTTTTTTTTTTTTTTCTTTTTTTTTTTTTTAATATGATGCAGTTTGTAAGGTGATATCATGGTGCTGGTTTGATCTGATGAAACCAAAGCTAATGCTGGTGCCTGCATGTGATGGAAACTGAACGCAAATCGTGAACTTGGGAACGTTGGCCTCAGATTAGGTAAGTCTGTTGCTCACCTTCCCCTTTTCCCTCAACTCCCTTTGTCCCTTTTCTTCCTCTACATAGTTAACTCATATCAGAGTTCGTTGTCACCAGTTGTAGGGAACTCCGTCTCACTTGGCTATATGTGCACTCTTCCCTAAAGAAGTCAGGTGTTGCCTGCAAGTTAGACCTTCATCACACCACGAAAACATGGAACAATTTCATCACAGTTCTGTTATTTTCAGTTGACACGATGAAGAGGAAAGTTTGACAAGTTTTAGAAAAATGTTCATGTTTCTCTAATATAACCTTACACTCATAGAGGAAAATAATATTAGAAGTTAGCCAAATTCATTGCTCGTAGCCATTTCAGAATATTTAAGGTTGGAAGGGACCTCTACAGATCATCTAGTCCAAAGCCATGCATCCTTATTCTAAAACATAGGTTGTGTGTTGCTTTAGCTGAAAGTATTTCTGTACTGAGAGAAGAGAATGTCTAAGAAAACTGCTCTGAGTTTCTATTCTCTTAGTTTTGTTCAATTCTAAATGTACTGGAGACCAGATCAAACAATAACTGACGTAGAGAGTATAGAAACTATGTCAAACAGGGACTTTAAACAGTCCTTTTGAGGTCAGTAACCTAAGCAACTGGAACTTTGATCACGCTGGTAACAACCAAATGACATAACCTTTGTGGCTGTACATGTGAAAATAAATAGGGAGCTCTTCACTGAATTTTACAAACGGAACAGCAAATCATTGGTGAAGTGAAAAATGTATGTTTCTAATAGGCTTAGGGAGCTTCAACAGAGGATACTAATACAGGTGAAGCAGCTTGAAATAGCAAGCAAGATTTTTTTAAAAAACATAAATGGATCCTGTTTGCAGTATACAGCATGAAGGAGGAGTCTTTCCAAGGCCCTGCCATATCAAGTAGAAGACAGCATGTTCTGTCTGATGAAATGTAAGTTTGACTGCTAATCAAACAATCCAAAGCATTGCTAGATTAATAGCCAGTTTGCTGAGAATACAGTTCTAGGAGAACTGGAACTGTTGTTTGATTTTATGATTCACTGAGGAGAGAGGGAAAAAAAAAAGGATTGTTTTAAAGAAAACTAATATACTTTAATTATGTTGTCAAGCAGGATTCTTTTAGCTTATTGTTTCAGTACTGATCCTGCGTAGGTAAACAGCTTAAAAATCTGAGTGTTTCTGGAATAAGATAACTACATTTTCCTGCTTTTTGGGGCGATTTCCTTTTTGAATCAAACTGATTTAATACTGATTTTTAGTTTGGAGGCAAGGGACAGTTGCAGATCCATTCTCGGCTTTCAAATTATTTGGTTTTATATTGTTGCTTCTGTTTCGCTAAATGGGAGGTGAGAAGAGCAGTTATTCACAGTTTGTGAAGTGTCTGAAGATTTGTGGCTACAGAATGCTACATAAATGCAAAGTATTTATATTCAGAACTGTGTTACATCTTCTCTTTTCCATATGTCAGTCTGTGCTGTGAATAGAATCAATCTGCTCATAATCAGATGTATACTAAGTTGATAAATGAGGGGTTTGTTTGTGTATTTTTTACTACAAACTAATTCACTGAAACTAAGATTCCAGCCTGCTTTTTCTCTGCAAGGGAGAGATCTCAGAAAAGTTTTATTAAGTATTTTACATCAATTAAATAGTCCTTATGGATCCTGTAAAAGCAGCCATGGCACTTCAATCAAGTACTGATTGCATTTGCCTCAAAATGTGGGAATTAAGCTCTAAAATCACATTGGATTGTGCATACATTGTTAGTTTACACGTGCTGAGAGGATTTAAAAACTCAAAAGTAGCAAAATAAGGAGGTCATAAGAGACCATTTCTCTTGGTTCAGGATTTTAGGTCAGCTTATCAGACTTCTCATGTGCCTGTGAATGTAGACTGGATTGTATAATTAGGGTGACTTTTTTTAAAGAGGTGAGAAAGAAAGATTTTGTATTCCTTGGGCATTGTTCAGGTTGAGATCAAATCTCATGACTGAGTCTCTTGGGCAAGGAGCTAGCCGCAAAGAATTACAGACCCAATCTTTGGGGTGGTTTAAAGAATAACTTGGGAAGTGTTGCCCTTGCAGTGTTTGTTGGGATCTTTCTGTGCTTTGCAATCCTTGACCTTTGATGCATGGTAACAACTGCAGTTGTTGTTTCCTCATATTTTCACCTGTACTTCCCTTTCTGGCTTGTGTGCATTCCTTTATTTTCTTCCAAAAGGAAGTGGAATGGAGATAAAGGATGCTATGTATCCTTTGAGTCTTCAGTATTTGAGAATGCTTTAGAAATGAAGAAAACACAAATCAATCAGAGCTTGCTACTCTTTGAGCAGTCAGACAAAAAGTGTCTGAGACAGGTGTGTTAGGCAGAGATGTGTTAGGCCTGTTGGTTTGTTTTCCAATACAGAGTTTTTTTAAACAAAAAGTGTGATTTTTCCTGATGTAGAGGAGGTACATGATGCTTTTGTTTTATTTTCCTTTCTGCTAAGTGGTTGACACTAAAACTAGTTCTGCAATTTCTTTATCTGATGCCCCTGACAAAATTGAGGGTAAATATAATAGTTTTGGTTGGCAGTGCTCAATGGAGAAGTCTGATTTATCATTCTTAGGTTAAAGGGAATTAATGTGTAGCATTAGGACCTTGTGTGGGAGTGTCGAGAGACACTTGCTTTGGTTTCAGCAAGCTCAGTTGTATGTGGGCAGCGTTTTGGAAGAGTTTTTGTAGCATGTTGTACTTAAGATAGATGTTCCTTAGACCTTTTCATATTAGATATTGATTACAAAGAATTTCTTTTGATTACCCAAATGATTGCTTTGAGTCTTAAATTCCTGTTAGACCAAGAGGTTGTGTGTGTCTGTGTTTCTGTGTGACAAGTTATATTTTGCTGCAAGAAAATAAGCATTTTGGTGATGCAGGGTTCTTGCAATGAAATGCAAGTTGTTTCCTATGCAAGAGAGGGCCTGGAAGTTTGTTTTTAGTATTTTTTCATAGTGTATCCAATGAGGAGACAGGCAGCTCTGATTATAATCCTGTTTTTCATTTTTCTTCTATGCATAGTTCATATTGACCTTGTGAAAACCTGAAATCTCTAAATTGGCCTCTTGAACAAAACAAAGTTTATTGCACAGAACAGATTATTCACAGTAATATTTACTCTGAAAGGTCACCAATCCCAGAAATATCAGTGAATGTAACTGTATCAAACCAACCTGACATTAGCATAATGTTTTGTGTTTTCTTTGTTTCTTTGGTTACTAGATAGCTGCAGCCTTCTGGGACAAACTTGTCATTGGCAGCAGAGCCCCTTCCTACACCGGATTCTCTAGTTCTTTGCAAACATGGACTTTAAAGTGGTATTTTTTAAAGCCTAGCATTTATGGAGGTTTACTGTCTGTGGTTTTAACTTAATCTCACAAAGACAGATTCAATGATTTGGTTTTTAGCATCAAAAACCTAAAGAAACCTTTGGTTTAATTATCTAAGCACATTCATATGGTTCAAATATTAAAGTTTTACCTCTGGAGTCAGTTGTGGTGTTTGGCCTGTGCTGAAATGCTGGTTTCAGAAATACACCTGCCTGCTGATACTGAAGGTGTTTCAGAAGTGCCAAGGGGGAAGTTTGTTTTTCTATTGCACTGATCCCCATCTGTGCATTAGTTTGGAAGGGGAAAAATGAGTCTCTGCATCTTATCTGCTCTCTAATGGGTACTGCCTGTTCCCTGCTGGGTTAGGAGAGTAGTCCAATGCTGTCCACATTGAAAGTGTGTTAGATTCCTAGGCAGGCTACAAAACATGGGGGAGATGGCTTTTATTTCTCTTCTGCATAGAGGCGTAGCAATATCTGGTCCTCTGGTTTTACTACATCCATAGATACTAATGGACGCATGGGAATTTTGAGCTAGTATTTCAGCTCTGGGAATGCAGAACAATGTAAGAGAAAATCTCAGTGATCTGAATGTTGATGGGAGAACCAGTTTCTCCTCCTTCTCTTGCACAGGTCTGACGATGCTGAACGAGGGTGAGTGGGGTTTGTAACTCCGTTGATGTCTTTCAAACTGCTTGTTTTGAAACTGTCACTTCCCTTCTGATAGGTTTTTGAAGCACCATATAAAAATGCTGAGCTGAAAAAGAGGTCAGGTTATCCAACCAGGTCCAATGAGCATGCCCGTGCACAGCGTACTCAGCTGAGAGGGAGCAGTCAGAGCAAAGGCTTTTGTTTCCTCTACCAAATGCTCTGCTGCTTGTTGCAATCACTTTTTATAATGATGGACAGTGTTTCTCAATCAGTGGGATGTGAGCTCAGATGTTTGCCAATTACCTTTATGTATTTAAGTTTGGTAATTAAAGATAAGCAGCAGTGCTTTGAGCTAAGCACTAAATTACCAGAGGTGGAGTGGATTAGCTGATGGGGGCAAAGGAGAGAGAGAGAGACAGAGAGAGAGAGAGAGAGAGAGAGACAGAGAGAGAGTGTGAGTGTGTGTGTGTGTAGATGTATATGTACATATCTGTATATGTACATATCTGTATATCTGTGTGTGTATATATATAAAACAACATTTTTAGCTTTTGCACACTTTAGAGTTTAGATCCACTACCTGGGTTTTGCTTATTATGAACTGCAGGATAGGAGCTATGGATCAACTCCAGCATTTACTTTATCTTTGCTGGCTTCTACTCCTCAGGGGTAACCCAGGACTAGTTTTTAAAAAAATGTTCTCTAGTTTGGGGAGTTATATTAGAAATATCTGAACTAATTGACTGAAGCTTTGTTTTTGCTAAGAGAGAAGCATCAAGAGCTGGGGAGAATCAACACGCCCTTGAACTAAACAGCAGTTGTTTAGCTGTTGTGTTGGAAGGGAAGGCTTGAGAAGGCAAAGGTTCTTGCTGCTCTGTGCCTGCTTCTTGCTTTCTTTTTTTTTTATATTTTAAGCTGAGATGAAAGAGAGCACAAACACTAGCCTCATCTCAAATCTGCCTGCAAATAAC